TGTTCAAATGCATGTAATGTATTTTAGTTTAGCTATGCTCCCCAGTGTAGGTAAGGACAAGGACATAGAGTGTGTAAATAAATAATGCACCATTGTGACACATTCGTTTGAAGACGTGGTTCTGCAGGTTTGTCATTCTGAGTGTCTTGCACTGGGTCAGACTCTGGCTTGTACATGTAAGGCTGGATTGACAAGTCTACCGTTGTTGACATCCTTATGCTTTCTTGCCATCTGCCATCACAATATGCACTTTCATATACATTCATTTTTGTACTGTACTTTACGGTGTATATATGTATATAAATAAGCATATAAAAAGCATATGTGTTTATGTATATGTGTAAATGCGCACTGATACATTACTACACATCACATGTGTGTATTGTGGGGTTTTGTTTGTTATCTTTTATTAATCTTTCATTATTCTTCTCAGCCTCTCTTGTATTTAGCTGCAGTAATGTGCAAATTTCCAGAGTGTGGGATCAATAAAGTTTTATCTTATCTTATTTTATCTTAAAAACAGTTTTTAGTCAGCAGATATCGTGTGTTTTTGCTATGAAACTACAAATATGGCTGAACGGGGTGGAGTCGAACGCTCAGCGACCTGGAGGGGGCGGGGTGTGAAATATCTCATTTGTATTTAAAGAGACTGCACCAAAACAACTTGCTCTGAGGCACAACTCAGAACAGGGGTAAAGCAAGGAAAGCAAGGAGTCTGTGGAGCAACAAAAATGAGGAATTTGCATCGACTATAAGCGTTGCAGTTTTATTTTAAATAGACCATAAGTGAATGATTTAGATGTGAAAAAGAATGATTTAAAAGCATATGATACCTTTTTAAAAGAGGGGTACCAACATTTTTGTGTACATATGTATTTGTAGTTACAAAGCACTGTAAATTACTAAACAAATGCAAACTCATTCATGAGATAGCAACATTTTTACCCCAGACTTTTAGTTGTAAACTTTTCTTAAATTCTTGAACGCATTCCTTGGCATTTTCAGGGCTCCATTTTCCTACCAAACAATAACTATTATTTTCTTGGTAGAAAACGACAAGGCATCACTGAATGAGCTCTCCAGTTATTAGTTGGAAAGTTTGTCATCGAGGGTCAGGAAGGTGATCAATCTCCTTTGCACTTACAGTTAACAGCCTGAGGTGTGGCTAACACGCTGCTGAAAGATCCGTTACGGTTTCTTCCCAGAAGAAAGGGCAAAAAAATAAATAAAGAAGAGGAAGAGGCCAATGACCTGAGGAGTTCCTGGCACATATGTGCAGTCGTAAACAGATATAACAAGTTCCTTACAATGTAAGATGAGAGAATGTCAATGGACCTGACACTGACACCCGACCACCGATCAATTGATAGCTGACATTACGTCTAAGCATGTCAGACCCCTCAAGTCAGAAGTATTAAAGTTTTGTATTACAGATGAGCTTCTGCTAATTCTGCTAGATTTCCCTCTAACCTCACTTCATGTTTACAAACCTATATAAATGAAAAGCAATTACCTTATCACAAACCTGCGTGGAATTGTTTTGAAGATCAACCAGCAGCGTGATGAGATTTTAAAGTTTTTCTTATGATAAAAAATAAAGCTGAGTAAAGTGATAGCTGTTGGAGACACAGAAGTAAGAAGTAACAAGTAGTATATTACTATATATTCTGTGAAAAACGGAGTGATAATTTTGTCAAAGAAGGGTTTGCTTACTAAAATGTTCAAGTTAAAACAAGCACAACAGAAGCTAAATTTAACAAAACAGTGACTCAAAGAAAATTAACCAAAATTTTATTAAATTTTTCTCAGTTTTTCTTACTAGTGTATTAACAGCTGTAGCCAAAACAAAAGTTAGCAAAGCCATGTGACTAAAATGTGACATTTGGAAAAGCCAAACGTAATAAAACCATAACCAAATGTTAAAATTTGCTAAATAATCACCAAAAGCTAAAGTAACATAATTAATGCTAAAATGACAGATCACATTTGTATACATGGGACACACAAAGGAGGCAAGAAGAGTTCAGTATCTTGCCCAGGAACACTTCGGCATGTGAATGAATAATTGTAGAATCGAATCCTCCAACTCTCTCATTGGAGGATAACTGCTCTAACCGCTCAGCCACAGCCAACCCAAGATTGTAAATGCAAAGTGTAAATGCTATAAACATAAAGTGGCTACTCAGATATCTTTTCCTTCTGGTAAAGTCTAAATCAATCAATAGATGGGGGAAAGGGAACGTGGTGAATTTGTCTCTTGGTTTGTCAACGGCTTACTTGAAATGGAACTGAGGTTAACGATTTAAAATAGTGTGTGTGTGTGTGTGTGTGTGCGTGCGTGTGTGTGTGTG